AGGCAATGTTGGAAATATCAGACACTGAACTCGCAAGAGCCGCTTTTATCTCGGCTATGCTTTATTCTCTTTTTTCTTCTGCGAGTCTTGGGTGTTCTTTGGAAATGTTACCGTGGTTTTTCCTCTTCATCCCAAATGACCTGGGAGGAATGTGTGAGGAGGAGAGAAGCTTGAAGAAGACGGGGGAATGTGAGGAAGTGAAGAGGAGCACTGGAGCTTGACGGGGCCAAAACTATCAGTCAGGCTAGAACATGATACCTGAGCCTCTGCAGGCGGTTGCACTAACAAAGCTGCATCCACATCTCCCCCAGAATTCCCACAACTTACTCGGCCCTGACAGAAAGCCTTTTTGAAATCCACCTTGTCAACTTACCTGAGAGCCCATCCAAATGATACCTTTCTTGTTTGTGACTACCAATGCCAGACAGCAAAGTAGCTTAGCTAAGCATTGCTTCGTAATTAAGCACCCAAACAAAACTTGAATCCAGCCTGATCAGATTCCAATGGATTTCCAGTCAGACATTCACCTTGAGGGCATTTGTCTTATTTATAGCATCAGTGTCAGTGTATCTCATGATCTTCTTAATTCATCAGGACTGGAATTACAGCTTCGCCTGCATTTAAACTTAACAAAGCAGAGCGTCCGCAATTAGGCTAATGCAATTCAAGATCCTGGCAGGTATGTTGTTTGGTGTAGCGTGGCTATTTGGCACTTTCTGGGCGTCTCAGGTGGCGTATCGCAGGTCGCTGTCTAGTTGCCCATTAAAAATGAAACATGGCTTCTTAATTACAGACTGGCACTTTTGGCATTCATGGCCATACTCATGTGTCAGACCTTTCTCTCACATCCCCCCCATTTGAATGGCCTCTTTAACCGTCTCCGCATCTCACTTACTCATACTCCACTCCCTGTAATCCCTCCATCTCTCTTGGTTGACTGCAATAAGACACTAGGCCTGCAGTTTGCGTTTGCTCCCCTAGCCCCAAGTCCTGCCCAGCCACAATTACTTCCTGTGGTTCACGGTAGTGGGTCACCGCCATCCGCCAAAGGTATTTACAGCTGAAATGACACACACTGTGTTTTCTGAGCAGACCTACCTACATCGTTTCATTATCCTTCAAACCACCCGGAGGCTCTGGTGAAGGTGGGCTTAATTATAAAACCAGACAACCAGAGAGAACAAGTTCAAAAGGCTTCCTCAGTGGACGAGTTGTTGGAGTAGAGCATAAACACAGTAACCATTGTGTGTTCTATGCATAGAATGTATCACGAGTGACATTAAGCATGCCAAATGGGAAGATGATTGGAGATCTGATATGGAGAACTTTTAGAACATACTTGACATGAAAGCTACTGCATAGCCTTAAGCAATGTGCCTTGACTAGTGCCATTGATATGTATAACTCTGAGGTTTCATGTAAAGGCAGAGCACTCTAAATACCTCTAAACAATCTGTTACCCATTCATGATTTGGTGGGAGAAAAAACAAGGTTTAAACAGAGCGATGCTGACAGTGGCTCAACGTTTCAAAAGGGGGAGGGGGAAGGAAATGAAAATCAAATCCGAAAGGTCACACATTATTGACAAGAGTGGCAAGGTCCTGTTTTTATTGGCTCCAGCCCTGCTCGAGTCAGTCCCATGTGTTTCCCCTTTAGCGTCCAGAAAAAGGCCCGGCCAAGCTTCGTCCAGAGCTCCCAGTAAACCTGTGGCTTGTTTGCATTGTTCATTTTTTGGGATGACGGATTTGCTCAATCACCCGTGGCTGTCACAGCTGGCTTTCAATCACAGGCGCACCCCAAAGAGGCCCCTCCTAAATGGGTCCCGGCATCTGGTACATATAAAGTAAACTGGTGCTAACTTGTAATGAAAGCCGTACACTGAATGCTTGGCCACTCTCTGGCAGGACACAGCGTTAGCTATTGACTTTATGCACAAAGTGATTTGATGTTGCGTTTTTTATGATCTCTAAACCCAAGTGTTTAAAATGACCCCTCACATAGAAGACAGTTAAACAAACTGTATTGGGTCGTAAGTCATCTTTTTTCTTCAGAAATAGGATCTGTCCTTTAAAATTAAATGGGACTGGGGTCAGGACATTTAAGTGTGTGTGAATGCTCGCTGCTAGATTGATTGACAGCTGAGCGTACCATGAGGGCAGGCAGGTCAGGGTGGGAAGTAGAGGGATAGCAATCAAGGGGCACGTACTCAGCCAGGCTTTACAAAAACACCGGGTCTGAAAATGACCAGTATCTGGGGAGAAGGGGACAGTTCTGTGCCATATGACAGCATGCACAGACAGCGAGGGGAACGTTTTCACTGCAACACCCACAGCTTGCTTTTATGTAAAATCTCCCTGGCAATTGCTCATGCATTAAAGTATCTCCGGGGCAGCACAACCCAAGCCTTCAACCCAGATAGCTTGTGTGTGTGTGGCAGATCATTTTGTTAATTTTCCCTGTGGTTTGGCCATGTGACAAACCCTTCAATTATTCCCAATTGAATACTTGAAAGAGAGAGAGAAAAGCATATGTAATGTCACATGGCAATTGGACAATTCATTTGTGTTCCCTGGCTACTTCTTAGACACACCGAGACTTGCACGCAAATATAAGAGAAAAATGGACAAAGAAAGGATCGCTTTTTATTGTATTCAGTTATTGAAAAGACACAGAATGAAGGGAGCGAAGGTCGCTGTGCAGACAGTGGTTGCTGCAGATTCTAATCCAAAGCCTCTGGCGATCTCGGCATGAACTCCATTTCTGGTCTGCAAACAAATTAGCTTTTTTTTTCTCCCTCCGACTCTTCCATCTTGTTCTCCCTCCAGTGAAAATAAGAGGAAATTCAGGTGAATAAAATCTATTTGTTCATTTAACTTTTTTCTTTTCTTCCCGTCAGCTTATTTTCTCTCTCCCAAACTCAATTTTACTCCCGGTGCGCGCCTGCTCAAGTGTTTCTTTTCTTTGCGACAGTCTCGCCAGCAATTCATTAGGCAACAGTGGTTTAATTTGTATCATTAGAAAACCGTGTTTCCCAAGGAGTGTGGCACTCCACTGAATCTGATCCAGACAAAGTACTTTCTTTTCCGTCCACACGCAAGCTGTGGGATTTGTTAACACACACCTCACACCAAACAAGTGTTTCGGATAGAGTAAAACAAACAAACAAACATAAAAAAAAAAATTAAAAAAAAATGGTTTAATATCTCAGCATCTCTTCAAGTGCTATTGCACTTATTTAGAGCAGTTTTCCTTCTGGGCCCCGATTTTAATTATGCAACAAATGTTTGACTATCAGAGTGAAATTCACATGAATATTTATACCAATTCATTTGTTGAGTGTTGATTGTAATTACATGGAAACATGATTTATTGCCAAGATTGCTGTGCTAGCCAGCCAGAGAAATAGAAACTGGGCAGAAATATATAAATAAATGCAAATTTCCATACAGGCAGCAAAAGGAAGCCCGTTTTTTTCTCCCAGTGGCTTGTGGGAATTTCCATTATCAAAAAGTAATTTTTTCATGGCATGCGCCTGGCAGAGAGTCAGATATGCTTACAGTAAGTATGAAAGGATGACAAAATAACAAAGAAGTTCACCTTCCTATGGTGACATGCGGAGATTTTGCCTGTATCTATGTGTATGTGTGTGCTTACACTTCATCTGTCACTCTATTTCTGAAGATGTAGATGTGCACATGATAAGAGCTTGACAGGATGTTTTGGTATCAGCCTCTCAGATCGAATGACAGCAGTAGATGGGGAATGGATAGATGTAGAAATGAAAGACGCAGTTACCGATCACAGTGGCTGATAGCAGATTTCACCTCATTAGGTGAGACAATCTGGGAAACTAATAGGAGATGGAGAGAAAGACAACATGTTTGAGTAATGGGCTTTTGTCTTATTTAATATTGTTATGATTGAACAAGAGGAAGGAGGTGGGGGGGGGAAGCAAAAAGCAGAAGAACAAGTGATGAGGTCCAGCAATGGGTTGGAGAAGCAACATTGGCATGCTCACACTGTGTTTGTATCTAATTAATGAATGGCATTATCCATTTGTAATGCCATTTATTCTGGTAATGACCAAACCTTATCTTCCATTCCTCGCCTCATGCTCATTCTCTCCCCCCCCTCCTCTCAACTGCCATTACCTTTGTACAATGCTCAGACAGGGATTGAGAGATGTTGAGGGGAGGAAGGCAAACAGACTGTAAGCATAGGCCTCCAATTTAATGACATGCCCTGTTACTGCTTAACTGCGGACACTGTTCCATAATGTGTTTGAGCCGGCTACACTTATTTAGATTGTTAACCAACAACTCGTCTAGCAAAAAGCTTTTGTGTGTGCGCATGTGCTCACACAATCCCTATGTGTACACACTGGTCTTTGTGCTTTCGCTCTGCGGAGTGGAATCAGACTTTGACTCGGACGCTTGTTCACTTAGTCGTCTTTTTAAATGGGCAAATAAACAAGTAAATGAGGCCGGAGCGTTTTGCCCTCCTTTTCTTTATCCAACAAACACGTTTAGTCAGTTGTGGTCTTGGTCCCCTGAGCTTCACGCAAGCTTGTGAAATCTTCATTTTTGTACAGTCTCACGCCCTGTCCCCTATTACAATGTATTGCTATTGATAGATTTCAGGGTGAGAGGAAAGCATGACCTGGCTTGAGGTTACAAAAGGTCTTTGTTGGCTGTTGTGATAGAACAGATTGTAGATTGAGTGTCTTTGTTTTGGGGTCAGGAAGGTGACATCACAGCTAGCTTGGAGATTTATGTAAGCTCTAATGGTTGTGCCCTTACAATCTAGCTAGCACATTTATACGACTCCTAATGATTCCTCCAATAGTCTCCTTACCCCTGCCTCCTTTTTTCTAACCTATTTCTCCACCACCCTGACCCGAAATCTCTTTCCAAAATCCAGAAGATCGAACCTGTCGTCAAACAATAAAAGTACAACAGTCCCTTTTATAGTGACCCCCGGCCGTTTGGTTTCTCTTGTAGCCGTTTCGCCGTGTGACCTTCTCGGTGGTGAGCCAGCCCCAGGACCCTCACCAGCAGGGATCGCTGCAGAGCTGCTACGACAGCGGCCTGGACGAGTCAGAGACGCCCAGCAGCAAGAGTTCGTCGGGCCCCCGGCTGGGCGCCCTTCCCCTGCCCGAGGACAGCTACGAGAGGACAACGCCGGATGGCAGTGTCGGTGAGGCAGAGCACTTGGAAAATGGTAGGGGCAAACACTAAAGAAGATTAAGAAAGCGATAAGATACAGGAAACACACACGTAGATACTTCCTAGAGCATTCAATCACAGTAGCAAGCCCAACGGTAGATAGTGTCAGAAACATACAAAAACATGTGAGGTTCTGTCCTTTTTAACATTTGGTACAGAGTAGACCTTTCTTTAGGGGTTTTTGGCTTGGACATTTTAGTTTTTTGTAGTTCTGTAGTGTTTTGAGGTTGTGATGCAGGGGATACTTTTGTGAAAGCTAAAGCCCTTTCACAAATGTACATCATGTGAAGACAGGGTGTGGGATTTATTATAAAACCTAAGGTTCTGTTTCCAGAAACAGGCGGCTTATTTGATCAAAGGCGCTACACGGGGGATTATATGAAACAGATATATTCTTTAAGATCAACACCTTTCAGGCCGTCTTTCTCCTTTTAGTTTGCAGCTATGTTCCTTACAATTCCTATTGGGTTTCGTTCATGTGGGTTTCAACTTGACTCAGTGTAGATTTTCTAAGGAGGAGTAACAATAGGGGGTAAATACCCTACTTCAATTGTTTCATAGTATAGTAGCTTTATTGATTTGCAATGCGTGCTGGCTTGAGGCCGTTATAAAGGAGTTTATTTTTCTTCATGTGGGAGATAATGGGCTGATTTTCTGTAGGTTGCAATGTAAAAAGAGTGTAGTCTAGAGTGAGTGGGAGCTGTGGAAAAGAGCCTATTGTACACTCCTGGTTGTACTGCTGCATCTCCACTTGCAGAATCTTCTCACAGCTCAACTAAGCCAGTTTCCTACCAAGACCAAAATCCGAGCAAGTGTGTGTATCTGGGTGTGCAGTGAGAGACGGGGCTAATGGTCCCATTCATAGTCTCGGAGTCTGAGGCGATGCTTAACAAGGAGGAGCTGTCTCGAGAGCGCTAAGCCTAAGTGCAGAGGCTTCCCCACTGCAGCTTAGGATAAGGATATTCAAATGGCTTAAAGATTCACATCCTCTCTTTTAAGATGGAGCTATTTCAGAGATGATGTCTTAACTTATCTCAGATCAGAAGGGTCAAAATAATTGTTTCCGCTGCGTCCACATCCTTTCGGGAGATGGTCGATTGTCTAATTGTAGGTTCGCAATGACCTCAAACACTATGGTAGAAAGTCAAGCAAAGCAGACAGATGTGCTCTTCAAACAGGCAGTTACACAGGTGCCCACAGTGAGCTTTCTGGACGTTTGGCCTTAACAGATTAAAAGACATTGTAACCAGCAGATAGGGCTACCTGGAGGGTACTTATAATGACCTATTTTCAGACGATGGGCACTTATTCATTGGCCAAATTAGACCCAATTAAAAGACTCATTTCAATTTAGTCTCCACTTAAAGTCATAGGACAGGGACCACCAATAGTGGAAAACCCAGTTAGATGCAAAGTGTGATCAGCCTGTCAATCAAATACCACTTGAGAACGAAAAATAGCATATATAGGGAATCAAAGTGGAATATAGACCAATAAAGAAGCCCATGTATCATAACATATTGTCCAATGTGAAATGTTTTACAATGACCTAAAAATAAAATGGTAATATAATCCCCATTCGTTTGGGCTTCAGCTCAGAGCACATATGTTGTTAATTCTCATTTTTCCACGGTTTCTGTGGGCGCTGTTACAAAGTGCATTGCAGCTTTAGAGGAGATTTGTTGGAGGAACAGAGTCAAGGTCAATATATGAATCAGTCTCCATCCAAGAGAAACAACATGCTCGGCTGCTGCTCGCTATCTTTAGTGGGATCAGCTCAAATGGTGTGTATATGTGTGCAGACGGCATGCTGTATAAAGTGAGTGCATGTGAACCTGTTTTGTTAAACACATTTTTTTTAAACTCAAAGCAACCTCAGAAATCTCTTGCAGCATATTTATACAATGCTTAAAGTTTCTTCTCTGAGGCTATGATGAGATACCGTTGAAGCACCTGGGTTGCCTTGTGGTCCGACAGGTCATTTAATGATTAAAAGAAATTAGCTACATGTTTGCTGTTAAAGTGTCCTTGAGGAAGAAGTTGAGCCTCCAATTGCTCACTTTAGGTCACCGTGGAGAAGGGCATCAGCTAAATACCTAAGTGTAAAGTAAATGCAATCATCTAAGGTTAGGGCAAATATTGGCAAAGTGCTCCAGCCTCTTGAGGGATGCTAACTACAGTCATTAGCGTTCCCCCTTGTGTTGCAGCCAGCTCGCACACACACACCATCGGCACGGCTTTATATGAAACCCGAGCCCTTTTTAATAAATGAGGGAGATATGAGGAAAGAGGGAGAACAAAAGTTAGCAGATGGCTTGCTGCGGTGCTAAGTGTTAGCATGGGCATCATTAGCGGTGTGTAGTTGCAGGTTTTTACGTGCAGTCTATTCGTGGTACGGTGATTTTTTTCGGTTTTTAGATTAAAGCGATTGGAGTTAAATCGACATTATAAGAACCTCGACCTTGGGGCCAGTTTGCAAAATGTATTTGAGGATTTGATTTCTGTTTTCCCATTCGTAGTGTTCCTGATTCATCAAGTTTGAATGTCTTTGCTTTGTGTCAGGGTGAAAACGCGGACAAAAGGCTTGTGTCCCTTTTTGATTCCGTGCCTTTTCTGGCTCTAACTTGCTTGTTCTGGATCGATGCTTGCACAATGTGCAGGAGCAATCGTCCTCCACTGCAGCTGCTCGTCTGTCTCACACACATGAGTGCACGGACACCTACACACACATATGCAGGCATCCGTACTAACACAGACCCAGACAAACAAATGTGAAGACAACAACACACAATCTGTTTTTCCTTCCTTTATATCTACCATGCACAGATGTGCCAAGGGACCGTGTTTTCTTTTTCTCATCTCCTTCATCAAGGTCAGGTTTCGAACTTTATCTTTTATTTGCTGACTTTTTTTCCATTGGGAGTGTCGAATAGGAAAAAAAAACAGAAAAAAAACAACGTCTCCACCCGAGACAGATTCTTCTTTTTCAAAACAGGGGTCAACATGGGAATATGAACATATTCTTGACCCAATCCACAGTGCCCAAACTTATCAAGACTCCTCTGTACTTTCTTCTTGACGTTGTTTCAGAAGAGTGAGAGACAGTCAATAGCTGCGGGGTCAGGAACCTTTGAGAATTTGGTTTGCAGTTGTCAGAATTTGTTTGGTTGAAAGATTTAAATGTGTACTCTTGCGAGAAAGATAAAGCATACATTTTATTATAAATCTTAAGCAGCACATCGCTTTGGCATTTGGTACACTTCACGACGTCTTGATCTTTTTGATGCACAGCTGGGGCCCTCACTTATTCATAAGCTTACCCCGGTGCTCATCAGATATTCATAAACGCTGAGTGTTTGGAGTCAAACACTCGATTAGGCCGTTATGGATGTCAAAGAATCCTTGCAGATGTACGGTGTTATTTGTGGGTCAAAGCCTTTTGCTCCATTATTGATCTCCACATTGCGGGAGGGGGTGNNGGGGGGGTTTCAATTTGAACCGTGTTAGTTCAAGTACAACTCAAAATAACATGCTTCCTCATTGCCCTTTCACCATGAGTGAGGTGTGGAAGGTGTTTTCATATAAAACCTCAGTGTGAATGTTAACAGCTCCGGGCACTGGAGATGTAATATCATTGTTCAATACATCAGGCTTTGCTGTGGTTGATGCAGTAGGTCACGCTGCTGAGGATTTACGCTATTTGATGCATCGTGTGAATCGTTACATATGGTATTGTTGGTACCACTTTACAGTAAGACTACTGTAGGAACCAACATGCTTGTTTTGCCATTACTTATTACTTCTATTATTATCTTCATTTCTGTTTGCATCACGTTTAATTCTTGTTGTTTATCACTTTCGGCAGGTGGGTGTGGTTTATTGGTATTTAGGTCACCTGTTGGATGCCGGTTTGGAGGGTATGATGTAGGAAGAGGGTGAATGGCGCTCTGATGGAGTTGTATATTGTTTGTTTTCGTTTTATTAAACACTGGACCATAAATGACTTCGGACTCTTATATGGAACGCGTCACAGCAAAGAACACATTTTAGCTTCTTAGCGGCATAACTCATAGGGAGTTTGTGCCGCTACAACTACCCTTATAAAGGTTTTACCAATAGTCTGTCATTCATTTATTAATTAGGTTGTGAAGACTTTATAAATCATTAATAAGCTTTTACAAGACATGAGATAAACAGGGCAACTGTCACCGGTTGCTTGCCAGTGAGCCCACATTTATCTGTACTGCTAAGCCTTATATTGGCTACCTAGCTTAGTTCGTCTTCTTCAGCAGCCAGCATCCTTGGTATCTGTTGTTTACTGAGTTGATTCTCGCTAAGTAGCCAATATAAGGCTTAGTCATCTTGCCAACCTACACAACCAAAATAGTGAGCCTGTGCTATGTTAGAACTGGTTTATAAATGGTTCTTAATGATTAATAAAGTGTTTACAACCTAATCCATAACCTAATTATAAACCCTTTTTGGATTATTGTAAAGTGGTACCGTATTTTTAATAGACAAAATGCTAATGTGTAGTTTGAACCTTTTTACTTTAACTCCACCTCCTTGTATTCACTAGTTAGTGAAGATCGGTATGTGCTGTGCTGCCCAGCGGCTAATTTTTAGCAAAGGTAAGCCAAGTTAGTGTGAGTCGACATGTAAGACGTGTAAGAGTCTAGAAAAGAGAGAAGGAGTTTTAAAAGGTTACTAAGGTTCAGTAATAAAGGAGAACACTACAGAGGGAGGTGGCTAAATGGGCAATCCACTAAGAGTATCCGACACCATATGGAAACGACATTTTGTATTTATTTACTCTCTTGTGAGTGCGACTTGAATAAAAGACCATGACAAAAAAAGAAAGAAAGTTGTAAGAAAAAAAAGAAAAATTGAATTTTTCTGTACGGTCCTGTCCATGATCTTATCAGACACGAATAGTGGACATACATATATGTTGTGGAAAGGCCCTGTGTGATTACATTAAAGCCCATTTAGTGG